GGGAAAGAGCTGTTAAAAAGTCAGTGTGCCTGTTGAAGAGTCAGTGTGCCAATCCCTTCTATTACTCAAATCTCAAAATAACCATTCCTATCTGCCTGCAGATCAGACAGAACAGTTTGTTGGCAGTAGAGCTAAGCACAGGACATTAAGTATTTGTTCTCTTTTGTTGTCTTACTGCTCTCTTTACTCATGTTGTGTGAAAGAAAGCAAATAATCTGGTTAAGTCCTTTGACGTTTATAATTAATCAGTTCTTCCTTACTCTTACTGTGATTGCATGTCCCTTTCTCTGGCTTTTCCATTTTCCACTTTATCTCTCAATGATCAGATCCAAGAAATCATTCAAATGATTTCTTTTTAACCAATAAATGTAGCTTTACAGCATTTTTTTTCCCTTTTGAAGAAAGACTTGGTCCCTTCTTTTGTCCATCCCACTACACAAGCTGTCATGTTCTGGCACTGCAGTCACTTCTAAGACCTTGAGTTATCATGTATTCTGTTGGTATTTGAGGAATTGAAAATCAATCACATAGCCTTATGTCTTAGGTTCAGCACAATTCTATTATGCCCACTCCCAAAAGTCAATTCAAACCTTTTGGGTTATATTTCAAAGCCTAATCAAGCTTGCTGTCCAGACTGGTTTGGACTCAATTCACTCTTGTCCACAGGTCTGTTTATTAGAGGGTTTTTTTGTCAGAAACTGGCATGAAAAAAAGTAATTTTTATAACAGTAGAATCATTCAGTAGACATTTTACAAAAAGAAGCCACCCAAATAGGTTTTACGGTAGAAAACGCTTACTGTTGTAATGCATTTCTGCAAATATGTTTAAAGATATCTTTTTAAAGAAATGCTGTGCTGGTGCAAGTGTTCATAAATTGTGCTTTGTCATAAAAGATGCACCAGTTTACTGAGATCATTTTCTAGTCCTGTCTTGTTAATCTGGTACAGAAATTATTTATTTTTCAATTATTGTATATGCAGCCCTAAACCTCGATGGTGACTTTCATGCTTTGAACCATGTGAACAAATGAGGATGGTGCCTCTAAGCAGATGGGCCAACCTCCTCCAAGCATGAGTTATGCCACCACCACTTGGCAGGCACATGTGGGACTGTACCATGACTATGTCAATCACCTTAATTTCCAGCAAGTGCCAAGAACTCACCCTGAGAATGAAAGAAGCTCTATATGGAGTTGTTCATTAGCAGTCCTCAGTGAAAATACGTACCTGTTGTGTGTTGAGGCAGGTCAGTCCCATCCCACTGGGGAGAAACCAGTGACAGGCTCTTAGCAGGGGTATTTCCAGATGATTTATAGAAGTCTCCTCATTAAATGAAAGGCTGGTGGCCATTCTATGGGAGTCAAGTGCAGTATAAATAGGAAACAGTTCTCTCCTTCAACCCCCCATGGGTAAAGGCATTGCTCTTCATTCTTCATGCTTCTTCTCATTCTGTGTTCTGCAGAGGCGCAGAGATTTTCTCCAGTGGATGCTCGACTCCCGTGACTCAGCTGACTCCCCAGCAGCTGGGTGTTTTGATGTGATCAGTCCATCTGTTGCTTCCAGACAGAACGAGGTGCCTCTTGCTGGCAGGGCCCCATCTGAAAAAGTTCAGAAGACACTAACAGAGGACGAGATAGCAGGCCAAGCTTTTCTGTTCCTGATTGCTGGGTATGAGACCACCACTAGCACATTGTCCTTTGCCACGTACTTACTAGCCACCAACCCAGAGTGCCAGGAGAAGGTTCTTCAGGAAGTTGATGAGTTCTCAGCAAAACACGTGAGTATGATGTGCTGGTGTGGGGCTTCATGCAGGGAGCAAGACAAAGTGAATGTTGTCGTGCCATTGTGGCACATGCACGGCCCCTATTTGTCTCAGTTAAGTATGCATATGTTAACATTTTATTCATATTTTCAGTAAAAGAAAAAATCTAAACGAATATATATTGTCTAGGATTTTTTGGAAACTCGTAAATAGTGTCACTTTACAGCAACTGAAGAGATGGCCGGGAAACTTTGTTGTGTAGTGAAAGCTTAATATTTACAAAATATTTTACACTATAGTAATAAACCAGCTGTCCTCAGACTTTTAAAATTACACTTTTCTATTTTTTTTCCTCTTGTACAGGTACTTTTATTGTTTTTGTGGTCAATTTTATTTACCAATCTTCATAAGGACATAAAAGGCTTTCTTACAAACCACGAATTGCAGAGTTTTGCTTTATATGTTCATACTTCTTTTTCTTCAGCAGCAGAATATATGCTGCTGCTGAATGTATCACAATATCTAATTCTCTTATGGCTATGTTCACATTATTTCTCTTTCACTGTCTGTATTTACCATATAATTATTTATGTTTCCTGAATAACTGTTGATAATATTTTGTATATCTGGCAGACCATGCAGCAGACATTCTTCCACCCTACACTTTGCACAAGTTGTTAGTTATGCGAATTCAGATCAAGGGTCTTTTTCTATTCATGAATGCTTTTATAATGGATCACAAAGCTGACAGGAATAAAATGACACCAGGCATGGCTGTCTTGAAGGATTTTAGCTGCTGGATTTGCATGCTGAAAGCCTTAACTATACAGTTTTGGAAGTTTCATACTTTTTATGCATTCCATTCTCTGTGTTGTACTTACAGAAGAAGAAAAGAGTTGTATAATTTTCTGCTTTGCTGGTAATAGAAAATTCTCGACTATGCAACATGTGCCCATTCAAAAGCTAACGTTTCCCTCCTTTTTCTTGTGCAAACATAAAAGCCAGGATTTGTGTACACAGAAAATGTCTTATTTTGTCTTGCATGATGAGTTTCTCAGTACCGAGGTTCTCTGTCTAAGATTGATTTTGCTCTGAGGGTGCAGATGAATGACAGCAGTCAAGATTAGGACTACGCAGTCTGATCCACAGAGCTTTTATTGGTGTGTGCTTCATACCTCTGGTGTGAGTTAACTCAATACAATGAAACCGTTGATGCGTTATGTTCTAACCTATAGGGCTTGGGTTATATTCTTAGGTTATTACCTCTACAACACTCCAGCTGGAGTGTATTTACTTGTTTCATTCCAGTACATCAGACCTAATTATGCCTTCCTATCTGGGTAGTTCAAATGACTGTCTTAAGGCCTGCAAAGATGTGAAGGTGCAACTTACCCTGGAGTATGTGCAGTTTACTGGTCAACACTGGTGGCAGAGTGGCACGTAGAAACCCCTACTATGCAGTCCCAAGGAAAATACGGTTCATGTCCTCTGCAGTTCCTGAAAACTGACAGCCTAAGAAACCAAAGCGAAGTTGCCAGGAGAGGTACCCAATATGATAGGTACCTGATGCATTCATATCTGTCTGTAGATGGGGATATGAATTGGTAAACTTTTCCACGTAAGTGCATAGGAAGCTGACTGTGAGCAGTTGTTAACTGGCCAATTGCTTACAGGCATTTCACATAGGGAGACCACGTATAGGGCTGTTGCCTACATTAACAAGTAGAGTGCTCCTGTAGACATGTGTTTGTTATCTAGCACAATTGGTAGTAAGGACCGTTGGGTGCAGACTGTACACCCCTTAGGGGTTAAGGGTTTAGTTTGGATTAGTTAGAGTCTGGCCCTGTGTAGCAAATTCCCTCTAGAAGTTGGGCCAATACTCTGGTTTAGTTCCAGTTAAAGGAGCCTTTGCTGTGTGCTTGGCAACTGCAGTGTGAACCAGTGCAAGAGACTTGCATGTGAGTGTGCTCCTGATCTAAGCTAGAGAACTAAATGGACCCTATGTTGTGTGTGGTCTGTCTGAGCTGTTGCTCACTATTAGTACTATTTCCATAATAGTCTAATTCCAACTTGTAATGCTTGACTCTCTTGGTTTTCTAGCAGGAATATTTTGGTAATAATTTCAGCTTTTGCACTATCTCAGAGAGATAGTAGAGCTAGGGACACTCGTGGCAGAGAAACTAAAACTTGGTACAGAGAGATGGCACTCAAAAGAAGTGAATTATTTTTGCAAGTCAGCACTGTACATAGTCTCTGTGGTGCCTCAACCCAAACTGGTGGCATCATCCCAAACCATGCTGTCCCATGTCATATATTCATTCGAAGTACCATGTAAATCACTTCCCCATACTTTACTAGTTTTAGCTTTAGATGATGCATATATGGCTGTATGGCCAAGGAGAAGAGGGAGAGAAGGATAATTATTCATCTGCTGTCCTTCATACCAGGAAATTCATAGATCTAATCTGTGCAGGCCCATCCTTCATAAGATTTCCTATAATAAACAGCTCATGATTTGACTGGAGACAATGCACTGCTCAAGGAGCCCATCCCAGAATAAGGAAAAAGGTGCAGCAGTTCAGTCCTCTTAGTGACTGTAATTAACTACCTTTAGCCTAGAAAATAAGATCTATGGGAACGGTTTGAAAGTTACGGGAGCAGAAGCTATTTTAAAACTGGGTATATATAGATGCTCTGTTCAGTTGTCATGCAAGGGAGAGGAAGGGAGGGGGCATAGCAGCTGCAGACTCACAGTTAGTTATAAAGTCAGTTGCTAAGAAATTTGATTAGGTTATTGCTTGTACTCAGCACATCAGCTTCACTCTTATCAAGGTGCTTTGCAGTTTTCAGAAAGCAAAAGCTTTAGGCGGCCAAACCATGAAGAATGGTACAGTCAGGTTGTTTAGGCAGGTGGTAGAAGACTGCTTTGGTTTGCAGATATGCAACTGTTAAACACAGTACCCTCTTCAGCCAAATTTATACTCAGGTAATTATAACTACAAAATGCTCTCCACCACGTCCCCTTTTCTTCCTCCAATCATTTTAGTTGCCTCATGCAACATGTTTTATTGCCCTAATCTGTGGTGCAGAGCTGTGGTCTGATTTTACAGCAGCTGCTGTGTATTGTCGCAGAGATGGCTGTGCTTTGGTGGTGGACAGAGTGATTTATACACTCATTTACTAAAGTTTATAAAGACATGTGAGAGCCATCTGAGAAAAGATGCTATAAAGGACAGGTGCAGTCCCAGTTTTTTTGGCACACCGGTTGAAAACTCAAAGCACAGTGACCTTGTGATAGCCAATAAAGAGAGCAGGGTTGCTCCATCTGGGCATACAGCAGTATTTTGGTGGCTCTGGGTGTTGTACTTGAGGATACCCCAGAGTTTACTCTGATCTTCATCTGTCTTACTTGTACAGTGGATACCTTAACAAAATGGGAAGGAGAAAACCAAGGCACTGCTGTGATAGAGATCTCTGTGCTAGCTTGGCACAAGCTGCTGCGGTGTGGTGCAGAAATGCAAGGTTAGGTGCTGGACGTGGTCTGGCCCCAGTGCTGTGACAGGAGCTGGGAGCCCAGAGGACAGGCAGGTCTGAGTGACTATGTTGTACTGCTCTGTTGTGTCTAGCTAACTTTGTCTCAGAGCTGTTCTGGGAGACCTCTCTACCTCTCTCCACCACTCTTATCTGAATGACGCTGTAGAGATGGCACTTCCAGGCAGTTGTCCTTAGAGAACAGTGCCTGGAGCTAGTCATGAGTTGTCATGTCTTTGGGGTTTTTTTACCTCAGGACCTTCCTCATCTGTTCACTAAAGGACTTTTTAGGTCTTCTCTTGGCTGATAGCTCAGTGTGGAGGCTTGATGATGTCTCTTTTCCTGGAAGTGAGAAGAAGCATCTGGTCCATTTCAAAGTCTGACAAGCAGCGGAAACCTCTATCCTCGGTTATGTAGAGGGCTGGACACATAGATTATTGCCCTCCTCTCCTCTGTCTGGATCTTTGGAATGTAGGGTAAGGGAGTGCACAGCTTTTCATCATCTCTGGGGAAGCAGAGAGACAAGGTACTGAGTGTGCCTACTGTTCTACTGTCACTTCACACTGCATCTACCTGTGAATCCCTGTGTCTACTCCAGCTCCACTGGGAAAGACAAGTTTGAGCATAATTCCTGTAACAGACGAACAGAAATTAAAAATGTGGAGACTGACCTGGCCCTCATAGTGAATCCCTTGGGGGTGTAGTATGTGCCCTGTGAAGGGCCATCCGCTGAAAACAAGATGCACCTATTTGCTGCAAGCTTGTTGCCGGATGTGCAGCTTGCTTTGGTACCGCGAAGACAAAATAAACGAGATGAAAAGACAGTTAAATGCGAGCTGGTGGGGGCAGGACGCCTACATCTGTGTGTGCATAAGAGAGTATTGCATTTTGCAGAGACCACAGATCTGTTTCCAGGACAGCAGAGAAGGGTCAGATCTTCAGAAGGTTGTAAACTGGCACGTGTTTGGTGTTAATACATGTTTGCTGATATGCGTCAGTGGAGAAGGTAGCCTGGTATATACCAGTAAAAGGAGCTGGGGAGCAGGGAGGAAGGTTGCTATTTCAAGACCAAATTATTTTCATAGCATTTGTGGCTAACCTTCCCTAAACTGCTAGAGGTTATACAGTTGTGAAAGAGATGTTTTATCCGCATTAACCAGGTGACAAGGAGTACACCCATGGTCTTCGCCCTCTCCATTTCAGTAAAAAACGATCCCTGTATGGAGTTGTTAAAGAGTCCTTCAGAAGACATGCATTTATGAACAGTTTTTGCACTTGTGACTGATTATTTTATTGTAAAAGCAAGTTAATTCTTATTTGTGTGTGTGTGTGCTTAGCAAAAGCATAGCAAGACTGCAGCACACATTCCTTCTGAGTAGATAGGCACTTGCAACTGAGTGTCACTGCACTCTGACCTGCTCTATGTTTTCTCCTAAGCCACAGTGCTTCGGGCATGAATAATCGCTGCATCTTCCACACTGGGG